TTTTTTTTTTTTTTTTTTTTTTAACTGATTTACTGTCGAACAGGAATGGGGAAGACTTTAAAATTTATTTCACTTTGTTTACCAATTTTCCCTGCAGAAGAAATTCTTTAGTTGTAATTTTTAAAAATACATTAGGAGCTATCAGTTTAAACAATGGGTTATTTTTCCATCCAGTGTTTAAAAGAATATTAACATATTCATGAGTATTTTCAAAACATCCAAGCCACTCTATTTAAAAATGAATTACAAAACAAAAGACCTTAGTATAAAAATGTTCCATGTTATTAACAATTCCCTTGCGACTTCTGATGGCTTCACATATTACAGTATAAGCTTTGGTATAAAACATGCAAATAAAAGCCAACAAGGTTGTGAATACAGGGTGGCTAAATACAAAGCACTTATGAAACTAGTGTTGCACAGACACGGCAGGTGAGAAAAGGTAATACACCACTGTAGGATGACCAGAGTTTGCACGTCTACCACTTCTCAGTTTGTAAATTTTGCTTGTTCAAAATCTTCAGCAGAGATTGACTCATGTAAAAGGGTCTTGCGGTAGAGCCATCATTTCTTTCTAAATCTTCCACTAGAAGGAAGAATGGCACAGAGTAAATATCAAAGCAAAACTGTAAGAGAAGTAACAGCGCCATCTGCTGCATACTTGCTTAACAGCAGTTCAAAATGTTTTTTCTTTTAATAGCATAGTTTGGCATCTACATTATTGTAAACATACGTATGAGAAAACAATCAGCCCTTGTCATTATGTCAGTAAGATATTATCTCATTCTGTGTAGCAGGTCAGATTCTTCCAATATTGCATGTCTCTCAGTTCCATGATTGAGGAAGTAACTTCAGCTAATTTAATTACCAAAAGAAAAAAAGATTAATCAGAAATTTCTAAATTCACCTTCCAATTCCTAAAAGGTACCATGTTCTCACTTTGCTTTCTAAATTACTATATTTGTTCAAAATTGCTTCTCTTTTGCCATCAACAATTTAGATAGTACAACAATCTAAAAAAAAAAGTTTTTTAAACTTTGTAAAGTTTAGTATACTTCAAATCCTCCAACTGCAAGTTTTGAGAAGTATTGCTCTGTTTTTTTCACAGTTATTAGTTTAATTGCTTTTTAAGAAAATGGCTTCTAAATTTCTTCTCAAAAGTGATGCTCATTTTTGAAGGGAGAGGGTTGACATGTTGTGGGGTTGTTAACCAATGTCATAAAACAATATGTGTACTACTGTTTCATGAGAAACTATTTGTTCTGTAAGCCTTCACCTGAAGTACAATAAAAAAAAAAAAATTTGGAAAAAAAAAGTGATGCTCATTTTTACTGTATGTTTCAGTTATACAAAGAAGTACATGACATTGTGAGCACCTTCTCTAGGGGTAAAGATTCCTTTTGTAATCCCTCAAAGTTTCCCTTTCCAATCTGTGTAAAACACTGAGAAATGCAGTCTTATACCTACTGTATTTTCACAGATTTACTTTAGGAAAGGTTACATTTTTAAACTTCTCTCTTTTAGTAAAAAAAAAAAAAAAAACAACAAACATCCTTTCAAGTTTTTTTTTTTTTCCCTTGCGTATAGTACAAATTCATGATGTCCACTAGGCGCAAAGAAATTTATTTATAGTTAATGGAGAATATCTTTCTGACTGGAAATAAGCCCACAGTGTAGTTAACACTTCCACACTTAGAAGTTCCTCCTTTAAGTGATTAAGGTAATTAAGAAATATTTAACAAATGACATTCTTCATCCTATGATTTCCTACCTAAGGGTTATATCCTTAAAACATAGCCATGTTTGGAATGTACCCCCATAGTTCAGTAAACAGTTTTACTCTAGAGAATTTTCTGGTCTTATCATCAGATATAATGTTAAACATTTAATACCCAGGCCTCATCCAGTACCAAGAAGCTCTTAAGATACGGAAGTTATTATTGTTAGAAGTCTCCAAATTAATCTCCTTTGCCTTCCTCATAGGCAAACTCCTAGAACAGCCAAGAATGGAAGGAAAAAATAGGCAACTAGTCTCTCAAGTGTTGATTTATATTTTATTCAAGTGCTTTTCCAAGTTTTGTGTACATCAGAATCAACTAGAGAACTTAATAATAATTCACATGCTGGCCCATATCCCAACACAACATATCAGAATCTCCTGGGTGGGGCACAGGCATCTATATTTATAACAAGTTCTCAGAATGATTCTGATACATTAAAAAAAAAAGAAAAAAGAGACCCATTGCTTTATTTCATTATTATGAACTTTTTGACTACTCCTGAAGGGGACTTATTCCTCAATTTTTTCAACACTTAAGGTAGAGGTCACCATTCTATTAGATCTTTGTGGCCCCTGTATTGTTGAATAACAAAATAATAATAATAGTAATAAAAACCTTGGAAGATAAGTGATCACCCTTCCCTGCATTTTATGCTTCAAGGAGAATGAGAGTGAAGAAGGCCTTTGCCAAGATGTGGGGCCAAGTGACACTTCTGACTACAACAGTCTCAAGAAAGTAAGCTAAGAACAAGTTGGTGACCATTAGACCAATATTTTGAAAATCTTTTCCATTCATTGGCTTACAGCTTACTGGTGTCTTGCTATTAAGCTGTGATGGAGTCAGTCTAAATCTAGGTCCCCACTCCTCAGGATGATTAAATGCATTAGTATTTATGTTAATTTTGTAACACAATGATGCATTTCTGACTCTCAGATACATGGATCATATTCAGACCAACCTGTTTACTTCTGTCAATACATAAATAATCTTTACACACAAAAGTGCTAGTGTAAAAGCCAAAAGGATGCTAATTGGTTCAGTGCTCCTTTTGGGGTGCCCTTTTTTTACACTGTTAGCCATGTCATACGCACTTGCACACAGGGGATGGATATTCAAGGTATGTGAGGGTCTGATTCACGCTTTGCTCTGCCATGCAAAGGACCCAGGCGTGGCTGCTGGAAACCAGCTTGTTACTCTGGTCAGCACGGGTGGAGTATGGCAGTAAGTGTCCTCCCTAAGTCCCTGAGGGAGAGATTTCCTAACCCATATCATGCCCATTGTAAAGGTACAAGAGAGGTACCTAATCCTAATGTACTGCCAATACTGTATTTCCTTAGGGTAAATACAAAAGTGTCTTATCGTTCCTCTTTCCTTTCTGAAAGTTGAGCCAAAATTAAACCTTTTACGGAACAAAGCCAAACAATCTCTTTAATCTAGAAATACAGATATGTTCATGAAAAGTTATAATCACTCTTTGGAAACAAATTCCCACTGATCTTCTATGTAGATAAATAGGAAGTTTGGGTTAGAGACAAAAGGTTTGAGCTATATGGCAATTTCAATTTTTGTTCAGAATATTTTACTAATTTGCTCTGTAAACTTTCACTAAAGCACAATTTAAAAAAAAAAGAATATTTTCACCGTGGCCAGAGGTTCATATTATCGGAAATGACATTCTCAACTCAGATTCAGCTTCACTATAAATATAATTTCATTGAAGAAGAATGGGCTATGAAGTTTCCACAGTAATTTTGCCCAGTAATGCTCCTTGTGGAACCTGTATGACATTAACATCTACATGTTGGTTATGGACTGGAATTACTTACTAAAATATACTTCCTAGGGAACCATCAATACATGTTTAATCACAGTTTAGAGAGTTGTCCACCAGCTTGAACAGTACTAATATAACCATAGCACCATATTTACAAATTTAGTACCATATGCTGGTTAACTATAAAATCAATCTTTTTATGGCTAATTGATTATACATTTATAGTGCTTTCAAAAATTGCCTGAATATCCTTTACAAATATACACTTATAAAAGAAAGGCTATCAAAGTGCTGCCATGGGAAAGAGCACACTGAGTTATAAAAGTTATTAAAACACTTTCGGCTAAAGAGTTAAAAAAAAATGTTTGACATATACACTTGGCTCTTCAGCTGAGACCACAGTCTATAAAGTATCCTACTTCACAGAGGCTACCGTCATCAAATGTCCCACTCATCAGATGGTACCAGCTGCTGACTATTTAGAAATAAGCACAGAAATTTCACATTACCCCAAAGCACCATTTTCAAATTGCAATTGGCTTAGTTTGCAAAACGTCTACTTAAAAGCGAGTGGCACTGTTTGGAGCTTTTCTACTTATTCTGCTCCCGGGAAACTAGTTGTTTCTTGATCAAAATTCCGTGCAGGCTAGGGGATATGAAGTAGGGTTTTTCTGTAGATCCATCATTTCTTTCCAGATCTTCACCTGTATATGCAGCAGCCAAAGCAGGCAAAAGCAGCAAGCAGCAGCAGAACAATTATAGGCATTTTAATAAATTGGAGAATCGAACAGGAAAAAATCAGAGAGATCAGTGTTAGAAAGTCAAGTATAAGACAAATTAGTGCAGTTCAGTTGCTGATGTTGGGCAAGGTAAGAAGTATCAATCTCTGCCAGGAAGCACCGAAACTTCCTAAATCCCACCCACTCCAAAACAGGTTTATATTGAGAGTTTAAAGAGCAATAAGATCTTTCATGTCCTTCCAAAAGTGTTTCCTTTAAGTTCTGTGACTGTTCACTTCAGAAACATATCAACTATTACATCCTCTGGGATGAGGCTGAATAAAGAGTGTATTACTCCTGTGATAAACGCAGACTAATAACTGAATTTCTGAGTTTAAAATCATCATCAATGGTAGTCCACACCCTAATGTTACAGATGAAGAAACTGAGGCCCAGGGAAGTAAAATGACTCTCCTGAAGTTGAAGGCTCTGGAGCAACCCAGTTCTCCTACTTAACTGTAAGGCATCCTGTCCCAAATCCTTGGAGTCTGCCTCAAATTATATTTGAAAGCTATACTAGTCTGTTTTCTGACTTCTGTAGAAATATTATTCTCCTCATATTCTGTAATATTAATATGTAAATTTATCTCCCTGCTTTGTTTAGGCTAATATTAACATGAACATGTGTTCACTGAGCACACACCTGTTGAGTGGTTGGAAGAAAGCACCAGAATTATTCTGAGAAGCAAGGGGAAGCAATGAGAAGTTTGCACAGAATTAAAAGTTTCCTGTAGATACATATAGTTCATGGCAGATAGTATCTATTAATAAATGTATAAATGCAAACTGATTATTTTGAGCAGTAGATTAAAAACAATTATATGTTATTTTTTGCCTTTATTTATTACAGTATACATAAAGAATAAGAAATAGCATATGAAGACCATGTAGGATAACCATAGATTCACAGGATAAATCTAAATTATTTTTCATCATATATTTTAGGGAATGGTTGGTTACTGGTTTAGTAGATTTTTATATTAGATCTCACAGTGACCTTCCTCACATACAAAATGAAAAGCTAGGGAAGGACCATGATAACCATGGACTATTTATGTTCTTTTGTCCTTAATCATATTTCTATATCTAACATCATTATTAGCCTGGAAGTATTGGTAGGCAGCCTAGTCTGGATCACATTAATAATCATCCACAACTATTATTTTTCCCATCCAGGGACCAGTAGGCTCAGTGCCTTGTAAATTAAAAATGTTCTATATTTTTATAAAAGAAGTATTTAAAAATCACTTGTATTTTTACAAATACCAGTTTTCTGGCAGCCAAGATAATAGGATATATAAGATGTTGCTCATAGTAACAGTTGGGGAGAGAATAGAAATCCAGTATGGTTTCCTTTGATCTTTATTATAAAAAACAAGAGTCTCTGAAAGGAAAGGATTCATGGTCAACATACAATGTGTTGCATAAAGCTAAAACTGCACCTGGTTTTCAATGAGTTTGGCAATTGATTAATAAAGATGGGTGGAAAATATTTCTTAGTGCCCACATTTAAAATCCACTGCCAACTTAAATACAATTTGCTACGGCTTCGAAAGACTAGAAACCGTAGGTATCTGAACACTACCTGTGATGTATCTTGTGAGACATCTTCAGTTACGAGAATTGGAAAGGGCTGATCAGTAGGATCTGTAAGTATTGCTCCCATGATTAGTATTAAAGATGAGAGAAGAGATCTGTTGCGTGTTTGAGAGCCCTGTCTTTTCTACCCCATACCTGAGCTGTAGTTTGCTCATGTGGTATTTTCTAGATGGTTTTTCCTAACAAACAATTAAGGCACAAGGAAAAGATCATACAATCCAGTGCCATTTACAGACAGTCAGAGGAAGAACAAACTAGTGAACTCAGTTCTCCCAATTTCTTCGTCCAGTTATTAAAAATTGATTTTAAAATGGGCAGAAAGAAAAAACCAAAAATGAAACAAAACCAACAAACAAACCAAAAAAACGTCAGGCTATTTTCTAATAGATTTTGACTTAAATGTATCTCCATTCTGTTATGTTCTCTCCTGAGCCCAGCATGAAGTTGGTGCTGAGGGTTACTCTAAAAAATAAACTGTTAGTTTTATACAAGTGGATCACTCAATAATGCCTTGTCATAGAATAAGTTTCCTCTGCTTCTCTTAAGAGTAATGTGCCCAAGGAATAATCTTTGGGTGCTTAGTTGTAGGGCTAACAAGTTCTGTTCTTTCACCTGCTGAACCCACCTTCTCTAGGTTTGCCAAGGTGAGGGCTAGATGAAGCTAGTGAGCAGCACTAGGTTCTCCAGGGCTTTTAAGATGAGGTACTAAAATAAAACATATCCATTCTGTGTGCGTGAGTTGCACATACCACACAGGGGCACAGTGTATAAGTTAGTGAGGAAGCACTTAAAAAGTGTTATAACTCTAAGAATCAGAATTGACCCAGCCACCTCCTAAACCTGCTCTTCTCTGAATCCTACCCATTTGTTACATTTGTGTTACATGATGTGATTCGACCCCATGTGCCTTTAAAACCATTGTCATTTTGGCTTTATCAGAATCTGTAAACTCCCTCCTCAGGAAAGCTAGTTTCCAAGGACCAATTATGTCCTCAGTTCTGTTAACAAAGCACAACAGAAGCCCGTGATTAATATAAAGTTTAAAATATTAAGAAATGAAAAAATAATTTCATGCTAGCACCATGCCATGAAGCCCAAGATTCCTTTCATAGCTGACTCTCCTGTGCTTTGCGATCCCCCTTCTCTCAGCTGTTAAAGAGCATCTACTAAGCAGTATCTTCTTAGAAACAAACAGTTTTGCAGTTGCAGCCAGGTCATAGCAAATCCACAAGCCAGCTATGGACATGGGTCTTAACCTTTTCATCATTTCAGTTATACCACTGAGGGAGGGAAAACACATACTGAATACTTACAGAAACAAATGAAAAGTGTATCAACACACATTGCATAGACGCTGAAGAACCCATGTGCAATTAGGAAAGATCCAAAAATAACAGTCTGTAAACGGGCAAAGAAGAAAACAAACATGTCATTGACTTTGTCCAGAACAACAACAATGCAGCTTTAAATGAAAGTCACAATGAGAAGGCTTCGAAGTACTTTGAGGTGTAGGAAAAGATTTCACTAAAGAGACCAAAAAAAATAAAAAATAAAAAAAATTGAATGATAATGATTTTGCTTGCTTTGTGCTGAGATTTAGGTGGTGCAAATGATTAACGTGCTCAGCCGCTAAACAATAGGTTGGAGATTTGAGTTCACCCAGAGGCACCTCAGAAGAAAGGCCTAGTGAACTACTTCCAAAAAATCAGCCATTGAAAACTCCATGGAGTGCAGTTCTACTCTGATACATGTGGGGTCACATGAGTCGGAATCGACCCGATGGCAGCTGGTTTTGAGGGAGTTAGTGGTTTAGTGGTAGAATTCTTGCCTTCAACGCAGAAGACCCAGGTGTAATTCCTGGCCAATGGACCTCATGCTCAGCCACCATCCATCTGTCAGTGGAGGCTTGCGTGTTGCTATGATACCAAATAGATTTCAGCAGAGCTTCCAGGCTAAGACGGATTAGGAAGAAAAGCCTGGTGATCTACTTTTGAAAATCAGCCAACAAAAACCCCATGGATCACAACGGTTCGATCTGCAACCAATATGGCAACAGCAAAGGACTGGGCAACGTTTTGATCCATTGTGCATGGGGTCATCACGAGTTGGGGGCCAACTAGACAGCAGCTAACAACAACAGATTACCTGTCCATTTTTTTTACTGCCATTCCCAAAGCCTACCAAAAATATCCCAGATTTAGGATCCTGCAGATTCTATTCACTGAGGTAGTAAAGCATAGGAATTAAGAGCAGAGAATACCTGGGTTTGAATTACAACTCAGGAACTCACCCGACAAGTTACTTAACCTCTCTATGTCTCTTGTATAAAATTAGGAAGGGGCGGAAAATGTAATAACAATATTTATAACATATGGATTAACTGAGTTAATATATTGTAATGGATACTGTGGGGCTCTGCTCTGCTCCCCCTAATCCTCTGCCCCAGCTATTGGGAATATAGGCTGCTGATGACTCTGCTATCTCCCTCACTGGGAATTGCCTGCACTGTCGAGAACTTCCTCAACCAAGGTTACACCCCTATCCATGGGGCAGACCATAGCCAATGACTGCCTGATGCAGGGATACAAAGACCCAGACCCTCTGCCAGAGTGTTCTGTAGTTATGTCTGAGGAGGCCTCAGTTGTAACTGCATTGTGGGTCAGCTTCTCTGCTTAGTCGTGCCATCCTCACTTTCTTACAACTGTATCCTGAGAAGGCTAAAAAACCTTCTGAAAGCAATGATGTCTGCATGTCTCAGAGGTTGTTTCCAGGAAACCTAATCTGTAAAACGGGATGGATCTTGCCACAGAATAAGACCTAATAACATTAGGTGTCACTATTATTTCTCATAAAAACAATGATTGATAATCTAAATGTCTCCTTGTAAGTTTCATAAACCTCAAGTGTAAGAGTATATTTTATATATGTGATTATATATAGTTACATATATAATTTCAATTTTTACATATTTAATTATATAGCTAATAATTAAACACCAACTTAAGAAAAGTTGTAACTTAAATTCTGGGAGTATTTCTACTATTTTATGTGATTGGAGAGAGTAGATGTATTGCAACTCCAAGGTTTATATGTGAACAATTACATGAATGGAAATTTCCATTTAGCAACAGTTCCTGTAAAGTGTGTCTTTATCAGGAAGGGTCTCTTCTACTGGATGTTTGTTCCATTTTCAAAGGATCTAGGGCAGAGGGCTTCTCTCTGGCAATTTCACTTGGAGGAGGGAGGATACGTGTACAGAAGTTAAGGTTACACAACTAGACCGAAATGAAGCATTTAAAATGCAGGCAAGCGAACTATATGGAGTGTAGACAACTCATGGTGAACTTGAAATCTCCCTGAACTTTAGAAACATGTTTTCTGGCTCTGCATCTGACAAGACTTAAAATCCAGGCAACGCAAATTGGCCTGAGTCAGGACTCATCTCACCTTTTCAATCTAAAAAATAGAAGGAACAAGCAGGCCAGATCGTTCTGAATCAAGTTTAGTTGTCTTGAAACAAGATCACATGGAAAAGAACTCATGCATACACGGAATTTGCTCCCTTGATGCCAAAATCATGTGGGCACAATTTTATCAAGGCAGTAAAAATCAGTGGTAGAAGTGTCACTAATTGTGACACTAGGTTGACTGATAAGTCAGTCACAATAGTGAGTTCAGTCACCCTGTGTCTGGAGACTAAGAATGACACTAAATAAAGATCTTATTCTTTTATATACTTCATCTCTTCAAAAAAAAAAAAAAAAAGTTCAATAATGATCAAGTTGTGAAACAAAAAATAACACTTAAGAATATACCAAAAATATAGTTGCAATGACAAATAAAACTTAACTAGGAAAAACAAGATATTTTAAAACAAAGAATTCTGTGTTATCTATAAGGTTAAGTATAAACCTTTAAAGTCCCCCCACCTACCAATATCAACCCACTCCCAGTTATATCCTATAATGTAACCCAATCATAAAACACGGAAATTTGGAGTGCACGTTTTGTCACTTAAAAATGTTTATACCAGCTCGACAAGAAAATCCTGCCTAGATTATCTCAACAAAGAAAAATTTGATATGCTTAGAAAAAAACCCATCTGTTTAAAAACTAGATTTAAAACTACTTCCTATGGGAGTACTCCTTACAGCCATTCATTCTCTGTTATTCCTTTTAGTTTTTTTTATTTTGCCATCTCTGATAAATCATAGAGTCAACGTTCTTACCAGCATAGGTACCCAGTAATAATTTAAAGACGTTGGCCCTGTTAAAATCATCGGAATTCTTTGTGTGAAGAGTAAGAAGGCCAGGATACCTACGTTAAAAAGGCAGAACATGTATGTTATGCATTTGCAAAGGAAGATAACTCTTTGAGTAAAGCAATTTTTCTAAGAATCTGTTAGGATTTTTATTGTTTTAATTATATTATTACTTACCTATACTCCCAGCAACTAGAATTTTCCCTAGCAGTAGCACAAATTCTGTAACTTTATCCATAACTGCAACTCTGTGTATCAGAAAAAAAAAGAAAGAATAATTTTGTTTTTTAAAATACATTTGTCACTTGAAATTTACCGGAGTAAATAATTAATGAGTTCATTTTGATGTATCTTTGCTGAAATTTTATTTGGCAATGGTTAAATGAAAGAAATGAAGGTAGAACCCAGGGATGAAGTTCTGACTTATTTTTAATGAAGCAAACAGAAGATGGCATTGTAGGGCTGTCAGGTGCCATTGGTGATGTCAGCCTGTCTCTAAACGAGGCCTACAGACACCCTGAATTCTGAGGATGCTGTGTTTGTTCTCTGATTTTGTTCACTCAGGTTCTTTCAATTTTGCTATTGTATAGAAGGGGAAAATGGCCAGGGGCAATATGATAATGTGATTTATCAGGGGAATTTCTTGAGAAGAGGAGATAATAAAAATGAACAAATGCCAGTGGGTATAAAGATGCAGGTAGATGATGGAAGCAATCATTTGAAAATATGAAGAGAAATTAATGATGTGAGAGAAAATTTAAATCTATTAAGTGAAAGATAATATTCATATCAGGGGTCTGGAGCAAGACAGTAGCATAAACAGCTGCATGCTCCAGTCCCTCCACAAAAACACCAAAAAAAAAAAAAAAAAGCCTTACAGACAAACAGAAACTGGCAGAACCTACTTTGTCAGAACTCTGGAAACCTGTCAAAAATTACAGCAACTAAGTGAATGCTGAATCAAGAAAAAGGAAACACACAAATGACAGGAAAGTTTTAATATTCTACTTGCTTGTGCCACAGCCACTCCATGGCTTGGTGTGTCCATCTTAAAGCAGCAGTGGACAGCACTCTCAGAGAGGGATCCTAATCTCTGGCTCTAGACAGAGCAGAGCAGACTGTATCCACACATTATTGTGTATTTCTGTTTTAACTTGTCTGGAGGCTGCCTGAAAGACTGAAGCAAAGCACTCATCTTGATTTGGCCTGTCTTGGCGATCAAGCAGGGCTGAGAGAGCAGGCAGCCACCTAGGCCTTCGATCACCTGTCACTTCCTGGTGTTAAAGAGTGCCATCAAGGTATACAACAGATCCTTAAAAACTGGAAGGAGAGGACATGGAAAGTTTCTTCTGGAAATCAAGGCTTTCAAAAGCACCATGTATATGGGGGAATTGAGAAAGCCACACACATGCCCAGTGCAAAACGCTCAGAAATTACCTGAAAAGACCCTACAACTTTACCTAGTGCTGATCCCTCTACTCAGTGCAAGCCTGGCTAAGTGTTGAAAGAGGGCACCAGCAAAAAGACAATTTGCAAAGACTGGGAGAGGTTTGTTTTCCCCTGTCATTCAACAAAATCTCTGTCAAAAGACTAGCTGAACACAAGCTAAGAAATAGAGATTTCAGTGTCCACATACAACCAAGATGGCAGTGTTTGCAAATAGTAAACAAAAAGATAACTACAACCATCAACAATTAGAACAAAACAAACCAGCAATCCCCTGGGAAGGCGAAGAATCTAATTTCCAGAGTTACCACATTATAGTATTCAAATGTTCCAGTTTTAATAACAAAATTACAGGCATACAAAGGAACCAGAAAGGATGGCCCATTCAAAAGAACAAAATAAAGTGACAGAAATTGTCCCTGTGGAAACCCAGATAATGGACTTACTAGACAAAGACTTTAAAACAACAGTTTTAGATATATCCAAAGAGCTAAAGAAAAATATGGACAAAGAACTAAAGGAAATCAGGAAAAAATGATACAGGAAAACCAGAATATCAATAAAGAGATAAAAATGTTAAAAATGAACCAAAATGAAAAACTGTACCTGAAAAGTACAATAACTGAAATAAAATATTCACTGGAGTGGTTCAACAACAGATTTAAACTTGTAGAAAAAAGAATCAGTGACTTTGGAGACAGGACAATTAAAATTATCAAGCCTGAGAAGCAAACAGAAAAAATAATGACTTGTGGGCACCATCAAAGCAGGTCAACAAACCACATTATGGGATTCCCAAAAGGAGAAGAGAGAGAGAAAGAGGCAGAAGAATATTTAAAGAAATAATGGCTGAAAACATCCCAAACTTGATGAAAGACATGAATCTACACATCCAAGAAGTTCAATGAACTACAAGTAGAATAAACTCAAAGAGATCCATGCCAAGACACATTCTAATAAAACCCTTGAAGACCAAAGATAAAGAAGGGAGTTTGAAAACTACAAGAGAGAAGAGAATCATCACATGCAAGGCTCTTCAATAAGATTAAGCACCGATCTCTCCTCAGAAACTATGGAGGACAGAAGGTAGTGGGGTGACATATTTAAAGTGCTGGAAGAAAACCACGAATTCTATATCCAGTCAAACTGTACTTCAACAATGAGGGTAAAATTAAAACATTACCAAAAGTTGAGAGAGTTTGTTACCACAAAACATGCCTTACAAGAAATGCTAAAGGGTGTCCTTCAGGTTGAAATAAAAGGACACTAGACAGTAACTCAAAGTTGTATGAAAAAAAATAGATCTGAATAAAGATAATTTCATGGGTAAATATGAAGGTCAGTTTTATGGTATTTCTGTGTTGTATCCAGACTTGTTATATCCTAAATGATTTAAAAGAAATGCATAAAAATGATTATAAATTTATCTATAAATTACATCTTGTGTAAAGATGTAATTTGTGACAACAATGACATAAAGTGGGGGAGGAGACTTATAGAAACAAAATTTTTGTATGTTATTGAAGTTAGGTTGGTATTGATTTAAACAGGTTGCTATAAATTTAGGATGTTAAATGTAATCCCCATGGTAACCAGAAAGAAAATACCTAAAAATATATACACAAAAGGAAATGAAAAGGGAATCAAAATGGTTGACTACAAAAAATAAACTAAATACAAAGTAGGCAGTATTGGAGGAAATGAGAAATGAAAAAGACATAAGACACAGAAAACAAATAGCAAAATGGCAGAAGTAAGTCCTTCCTTATTGGTAATTACTTTAAATGTAAATTGATTAAACTCTCCAATCAAAATCAGAGATTGACAGAATGCATAAGAAAACATAATCAACTATAAGCTATCTGTAAGAGACCCACTTTATATCCAAAGACACAAGTGAATTGAAGGTGAAAGGATGGAAAAAAAATTCCATGCAAGTCGTAGCCAAAAGAGAGCTGGGGTGGCCATATTAATATCAGTTGGAAAATCAATATACCACTTTCTATAATGGATAGAACATCTAGACAGAAGATCAGTCAAGAAATAGAGGATACGAACAACACTATAAACTAGACCTAACAGACATGTGGAACACTCGACTCAACCACATCAGAATACACATTCTTCTCCAGTGCTCATGTATCATTCTATGAGACAGACTATATTCTAGGTCAAAAACAAATTCCAATAAATCTAAAAAGATTAAAATCATATCAAATATCTTCTCCAACCACAACAAAATGAAACTAGAAATCAATGACAAAAAGAAAACTGAAAATTTCACAAATATGTGGAAATTAAACAACACTCTATTAAACAACCAGTGGATCAAAGAATAAATGACAAGGTGAATTAGAAAATACTTAGAGACAAATGAAAATGAAAGCACAACATACCAAAAATGATAGGATGCAGCAATGGCAGTACTTAGAGAAAAATTTATAGCTGTAAATGCCTACATTACAAAAAAAGAAGAAAATAAATAAATAACCAAAATTCACAACTTGAGAAAGTAGAAAAAGAAGAGAAAACTAAGCCAAAACTACTAGAAGAAAGGAAATAACAAAGATTAGAGCAGAGACAAATGAAATAGAGAATAGAAAAACAATAGAGAGAACCAACAAAATCAAAAAATTATTTCTGTGAAAAGATCAATAAAATTGACAACCTGACCAACAAGAAGAAAAAGGAGAGATGAAATAACTACAATCAGAAATGAAAGTGGTGACATTACTACCAACCCACAGAAATAAAAAGGATTATAAGGGAATACTATGAACAATTCTACCAAACAAATTAGATAACCTAGATAAAATTAACAAGTTTCCAGAAACAAACTACCTAAATTGACTCAAGAAGAAATAGAAAATCTCAACAGACTGCTAACAAGGGAACAGACTGAAACAGTAATCAAAAGCCTCCCAACAAAGAAAAGTTTAGGGCCAGATTTCTTCACTGTTGAATTCTACCAAACATTTAAAGAAAAATTAACACAATCTTTCTCAAATGTTTCCAAACAATAGAAGAGGAAGGAATACATCCTAACTCATTCTAGGAGACCAACTTTACCCTGATACTAAAATGAGATAAAGACATCACCAGAAAAGAAAACTACAGGCCAATATCCTTTTCCCTTATGAATAAAGATGCAAAATTCCTCAGCAAAATACCAGCAAACCAAATCCAAAAGCATTTTAAAAGGATTATACACTATCACCAAATACGATCTCCCTAGGACTGCAGGAGTGGTTCAACATAAGATTAATACACCACATAAATAGAACAAAAGAAAAGAGCCACATGATCATCTCAATTGGTGCAGAAAAGGCATCTGACAAAATTCAGTATCTTTTCATGACAAAAACACTTGGCAAACTAGAAATAGAAGAGAAATTCTTCAACAGAATAAACAGCACTTACTAAAAACCCACAGCTAACATCATACTCAAAAGACTGAAAACTTTCCCCTAAGATCAGGAAGAGATAAGGATGCCTGCTTTCACCACTGCTATGCAACAAGGTACTGGAAATTCTAGCCAGAGCCACCTAGGCAAGAAAAAGAAATAAAAGTCATGCAAATCAGAAAGAAAGAAGTAAAACTATCTGTATTCGAAAATAACATGATCCCAAAGAATACACAAAAAAGCTACTAGAGCTAATAAATGAATTCAGCAAAGTTGCAGGGTCTAAGATCAACACACAGTCTATACATTAGCAATGAGCAAGCTGAAAATGAAATTAAGAAAACAATTCCATTTATGATAGCATCTAAAAGAATAAAATACCTAGGAATAAATTTAAC